GAATACAGTCTGATTGAACTGCTTCACCACTTTGACCCAGAACTGAAATCACTTGAATACACTGAGCTGTTTAGGTACAAAGTCTTGTTCATCTTTGATGGTCTGGATAAGTGTCGCCTTCCTCTAGATTTTCAGAACAATGAGAGCTGGTTTGATGTAACAAAGAAAATGTCACTGGATGTGCTGTTGACTAATCTCATTAAGGGGAATCTGCTTCCATCCGCTCTCCTCTGGATAACCTCCCGGCCTGCAGCAACCAATCAAATACCTGCTGAGTGTGTCCACCAGGTGACAGAGATACAAGGGTTCAGTGATGCCCAGAAAGAGGAGTATTTCAGGAGGAGATTCAGTGATCAGAGCCTGGCCAGCAGGATTATCACACATGTGAAATCATCAAGGAGCCTCTTCATCATGTGCCACATACCTGTGTTCTGCTGGATTTCAGCCACTGTCCTTGAGAATCTTTTTAGTGAGACTGACAGAGGAGAAATTCCAAGGACTCTGACTGAAATGTACACACACTTCCTGATCTTTCAGACAGGTTTAAAAAATGACAAGTATATGAAAAACTATGAAACCAAGCTTAAGGAATATAGCAAGGAATTCCTTTTGAAACTTGGTAAACTGGCTTTTGACAACCTTGAGAAAGGCAATCTCATATTTTATGAGAAAGATCTGACAGAGAATGACATTGATGTCACTGAAGCTTCAGTTTACTCAGGATTGTGCAAAGAAGTCTTTAAAGAGGAATATGGGCTGTATCAGGAGAAGGTGTACTGCTTTGTGCATCTGAGCATCCAGGAGTATCTCGCTGCTTTATATGTGTTTCTGTCAAACTCATCAGCTGACCTGCTGGAGACTGCAGTGGATCAGGCATTAAAGAGCAAGAATGGACACTTGGACCTCTACCTCCGCTTCCTGCTGGGCCTCTCAACAGACTCCAGTAAGACACTGTTACAAAGGCTACTGGGACAGACAGGAACCAGCTCACATGACATTAAGCAAACAGCCCAGTACATCAAGGAGGAAATACATGAGAATTTATCTCCAGAAAGGACCATCAACCTGTTCCACTGTCTGAATGAACTGGGTGACAATTCTCTAGTAGAGGAAGCACAAAGATACCTGAAGTCAGGAAGCCTTTCAGCAGAAGACCTCTCACCTGCTCAGTGGTCAGCTCTGGCCTTTGTGATGCTGATATCAGATGTGTTTGATCTGAAGAAATACCTCAGATCAGATGAAGAGCACTGGAGGCTGCTGCCTGTGGTCAAGAAATTCAGGACGGCTCTGTAAGTGATGTGGGGATGGAAATCATGTCTAGTCTGGCAGTTTTACACGTATATTGTTTGAAATCTATAAATATACAGTTTATTTCTCCTCTTGGATTAATAACTCTGGCGTTTTTGATAATCTGGACCACAGACTTTATAATGACTGAAGGTAATGATGTAGTTACAAACAAAAAAGTGATGTTTCCGTTCCCATCCAGTCTGCCTTCTGATTACAGGCACAGCATCCTAACCTGCTATAGAAACAGTGAGGGCTCTTTATGCACAGGGTGTATAAGTGGTATGTGAGTGTTATTGTCAGCAGGTGTGTTCATGTGATGGAGCCCAGAGCTGGGAGCTTCTGTATGGCTGCTGTCTCTGGTTGCTCACTGGCGGCCTCTGCTGGCCACAGCTGCTCCTGGCTGAGGAGAGAACAGAACAGAATATCTTTATTGTCATAGTACATGTACAAAGAAACTCTGTGTGCTTTCCCACCAATAACAACACCTCCAGTCGCGAGTTATATATTAACATTGTTTGAAGTATATAATGAAAATATATTTTTTATTTCCCCTTTAATATAATGAGGCTGGATATTTTTTGTCCATGACAATCTGGAAGCCAGATTTTATATTGACTAAAGTTAGTGATGAAGTAAAAAAAAAAAAAAGTGACAGGTTTTCTATGACTAAACTTTGTGTGAGAAACAACCAAGAACCAGAATTTTACAGAATGCTCCAGTTTGCCTTAATACTGGGAAAACCACTCAGAAATTATTTTCAGTTCCGGACAATGGAGGTAGTATTTCTGTAAATACTGGGGGTCCGTGACTCTGCGGGTTCGGACTCTGTGCCTGTGAGTAAAAGGCCGCTGGTTCAGATCTCTTGCCCGGCAGAGTGATGTCATCGCTGGGTCCTTGAGTGAGGCCCTTAATGCCAATGGCTGCAGGGGTGCTGGATGCTGGCCGACCCTGTGCTGTGACCCCAAACTTCCTCTCACCTGTGTGTGTCTGTGTGTCTCATGGAGAGCAGAATGGGAGGTGAAAAGATAACATCCACATGGGGAGGAGTGAATGTTCACTGTTCATAAATATTTCATTTAAACACGTCTTTATTTTAAACTTATATCTGAAAGGACTGGTAATTCTATGATTAGTGTAGCAATACAGAAGATAATGATTTCACTCACAGGAT